AGTGGTCCCCAACCTTGGGCCTCCAGATGTTCTTGAACTACAACTCCCAGAAGCCTTCACCACCACCTCTGCTGGCCAGGATTTCTGGGAGTTGAAGTCCAAGAACATCTGGAGGCCCAGGATTGGGGACCACTTCTTTAGACCATCTTGACTGCTGCCATTGGCATTGTCAACATTCAGGCTGCCCTTTGCAATATAAAGGTTTGCATTGTTTTTCCTGCTGGCAATGTGGGCACATTATTGTGCAGCAATATCAGGCCATTTCCTGGAATTTTGAATTGTGTAGACAGAAGCACAGTACCACATTCATACACCAGGGTTCTTTAAAGAACTGAATATGGGGCAGTGCTTGATCAGACCTGTGGTACTGGACTTTCTGATGTGTGGCAATGGATTCACAGGGGCTAAATTGTTAGGATCATAACTTGCATATAATCTTATTATTCTCTCACAGTATTGTAGAAGTTCCATTTTTATCACTGGCAAGACTTTCATTTCATTTGCAGAACTCATCGAGCCAGGCATTCCACAAGCTGCTGAAGTAGCTTATTATGATTTCATTAGGCTACAGATCCCTTGCACTAATCATTCTGGTCATACCTCTCATAAAGCTGCACTAGCAGAACAAGATCACTTTAGTACTTTTTTCTGTTAGCTTGTCATTGGATGCCATATTCTCTCTTCACCTATGCTGAACTTATATACTAGTAAATACATCCAACTGTGACATAAACACAATTTTGTTCTGATCTCTGTCTGAGAGTGTTCATTTGCTTCTAGAAGTGATGAGTACATTGCTGTATAATTGCTCTCTTTCCCATACTCCGTTTCTTTTTGGCAAGCATGTTTTGCATCCATAGGCAAAACATAGGGGCTGTTTCAAACATTTATTCCCCCCAACATAGAAATTCATTTATTTTATGTTAATAATCTAACAATGAGTAAAAAATGAAAGGCTTCATCAGTAATATGAATGGAGCAATATAAGGCCAGCATTTTATTGCCAAGTGACCTGCTAGAAATGGTAATAAAGTAAAAGCAGATGGATAATCAGAACTTGGATGATTTAGAACAGCTGTGGATTATAGTCCCTCCCCCCAAAAATGACCATTTTCCCATGTACTATCTGTAGGTAGTACATGGCACATTGCCCACATTTGACATTCCTCGATTCATAACAGCCTTAACTTACCTGGTTCTCTCCAACATGCAAACAAAGGGGGGTTAGCTCTTCCCCTCTCTGTGATTGCTTTCTCTACATGAAGAGTTATGTGTCTGAAGGTTTTTCGGGGTCCTTATTCATGTATAGAGCCTACATATGAGCAGGAACTTCTCCCTTGCAGAGATACTATTCTCCAGGTTGAGAAAACAATGATGAAGAAGGGAGCAGCCAGCTTCTTTCCTGATTGTATTGTGGGGGGGGGGGGGTTTAAGTAACGCCTCAATAAGATTAGTGACAGTTTTGCTCTTTGTTCTTACTAACCCCCTGCTTTGGCTCCTAACTTACATCGAAATAGTTGAGGAGTGGCTCACTGGTATCCTTGAAAGCTGAGCATTCCTGGGTGTATTGGATCATGTCCAGCTTGTGGCTCTTCCAAAACTGAGAAAGCTGTCCACGTTCTCTCAAAGTTTTCCGCAAAGATTTGTGTTTTTTCAGAGGTACTCTAAGAGCAAGACAGGGAATCTATATAACAAATGCTATGTGATAAACAAAGACTTAAAAACTCATTTTCACAAAATACCGCTAAGCAGCCAGCAGTTCATACTCTCTATGAGCTGCACATGTTTTGAGACTTCGATCCATGGTACACACTCTGTGATCAAGTTATTATGTTAGGAATTGCAATCTATTTTTTTGCCACCATTCGATATTTATTGTGCCATATCAAAATCCAGTCTGCCAAAGCAGTGAAGACATCCTTTATGATTTATAAAACAACTTATAGCACTCCATTATCAACAAGTATGTTTGGTGGGGACACTGCTGCCAAACTCTGAAATTCCCTCCTACAGGAAGCCAAGCCAGCCCCCACTTTGCTTTCCTTCTGGAAACAGATGAAAACCTTTTTTCTTTAGGCACGGTTTCTGGTAGAGCGGTGTTTCTCAATCTCTTTTGAGTCACGGCCACCTTTTATAATCACCAAGTAACCTACAACCCATCACCATATTTGCATAAATGTACCCCTGAATCACTTGGGTGTCAAGCCAATTCAGCAACACGCCACTTACAACAACAACAATTTTGATGCAGGTTTCACCTCCTCCCCCATGGAACAGAAGATAGGAGGGGACACAGAGGGGAATATTCTTTGGGCTCATTCTGTTATTTTTTCTTCTTTCTCTTGAAAGAGACGACTGAGCTAAATAGGGTTGGTTCCATGCACACCAATCACTGCATATAGATGCAAGGATCACACGAAATGGCATACCACACCTCAAAGCGACCCTATTCAGCCTAAAGCAGCCCAAAACACATTGACTGCCTCGTCGCACCCTCACTTACCTTTGTAATCCATTGGCCAGCCAAATGCAAAGGATTACAAGAATCAGCAGCTTCATCCTGGCAGCCCTATAGTTTCCTTGACTCCTAACTTGTGAACAAAAGCTGTGTTCTTATACCCACATGCCCAACCCAGCCACTGTGATAAAAAAAATAAAGATAAAAACGTACAGTAAGAAAGCCACACCATTTAATGTCAATATAGCGCCCATGAAATAGAAATCAATCCCTCTGCATGTGCTTCGTTCCAGTGGCCATAGATTAGGATTTTAGTTATTTTCCTTTCCTTTTTATTTTGAAGCAGAAAAAAATTGAAAGAACTGTAGGACTTTGTTAAAAGTATGTACAGAATCAGATTTAGACACAAACACTATGAATCCTATGTGATGTGGTTTGTACAAGACTCGTTTGTTGCCTAATAGTCATATGGAGTTTCTGGAATAAAATATGTGTGAATCAACAGGTTGTGTTTATGGTACAACAGATTGATTGATTGACTGACTGAGTGAGTGAGTGATAAAACCATGTGCGAGTACATTGTCTTTCTAACAAGCTATTATTCTAAAATAAATACACATGAAAGGAATAGGGCCCATTTGGAATGAAAACTGTATAACTTCTTGTGGGGAAAAAAGCCTTTACATATCTTAATAAAAGAAAAAGTATAATTGGTATTTTTGCTATCAGCATATGGTGTGCTACTGCTGAGTGTGTGAATATCAAAGAGGAGCAAGTACTCAAGAGGCTCATAATAGAATAAAAAAATAACACTCTGGGTTACCACTCCAAGAAATGCTTTCAGAGATAGTGTAGCAGAAAGATCTGTACACTTGGTTACAGAAATCTCTAAAGCTGACTTCTCTGTGTGAAGCTCTCCTTGGTCATTAGGGAAAGTTATGTGTATCTGCTTCTCTTTCCCAGAGGCCCTAATCCTTTAGGCTTGCAGAACCCCTAATCCATGTGTGTTGTGCACGTTCAGGCTACACATGGGCACTTACACTTTAAAAACAACAACAGCTGAAACCTAAATTTTTACATCACCGTTTACTCTCTCTATGTTCTTTACTGTTTCACTTTCTTACCATCAATACTTCTAATACCCTTTGTTTCTTGGTAATATGTCACAGCCTGAGAAAAATATTTCCATTGAGCCCTATATCTGAACAGTGGAGTGCAACAGACGGTGTGCAAGAGAAAAATTTATGACAACATCTTTCTGATGGGGGCAGGAGTCTGGAAAAGGTTTTTCTGAAATCTTGGAGGGAGCAACTTTCTAAGAGTAGAAATCAGAGTATAGAATAAGTTGCCATTAAAGACAGAGGACATTTCCTATACAGATCCAGATCAGCTGTCTGTCTGGCTCAGTACTGTCTCTATTGAGTAGCTATAGCTCATGGACGTTTCAGAACTATAGGTGAAACAGCTTCCCTGACTGCAAAACAGAGGGAACATGAGTTTGGGTTGTCAGCTGCAGAATGCCTAACAAGGACTCTTTTGAAGGCATCAATGGCGGAAAGTGGCTCAATCCTTGGATTCAGGGAAGATCATCCAAGAGAAGTGACTAGCAGAAAATTCAAGGCCTACGAAATAAGGTACCTCAATGATTCTGTGTCTGAATAACAAACTACATGAAAACATTGGGTCTTTATGTTGTTTTCTTTAATAAGATGATTTTTAGAGACTGATTACCTTTACAATGATTCTTTAATGGATTGATATTATTGAGAACATTGGTTTAGTAAAAAACATCTTTTTCCTCAGAATATTTTTCTGTTCTGACCACAGCTTCTATGATTCTTCTTTTCTTAAGCACAGCACATCATTGGGCATCTTAGTGTCACCATTATCAGAAAATAAGATATCAAAGGAAGTTCTGAAGCTACACAGGAAGAGGTACAGCTGATAATAAAGAACGAGATGAGAAACAGTAGTGGAGTGAGGCCTTTACTCTAATGACTGCTGTCATAGCCCTGACTGGGATGGTTGTTGAAAGCTTTGTAAATCATGGTTTAGGGAGCTGGAAAGAATTGCCAAACATTCCTTCTTCATCTCTTGCCTCCAGAGTTCACAAGCATTAATTTTTTTTGTACGCTAATTCTTTGAATTCCCAAACCAACATAATTATGGCCATTTCGGGAAACTACAGAAAGAGAATGTAAAATTTCCAAGATTTGCTCCTCTTCCTCCATCATACACTGACTTGGTCACAAATATCCAGGTTTGTATGAGGAACTCTGGAACTAGAAAAATAAGCCAGGATGTAATTATCCAGAAAGAAAGATAGTTTGGACTTGTTCAGCTGTAGCCTTCATACAGAAAAGGGTGTGTGTGTTTTTCAATGAAACAGTAGCAGCCCTTTTTTTGGAGACACATTTGGAAGTTTTGGACAGAATGAACAGGTTGGAATGAAAGCAGCCAAAGGTGTTAGTTAAGCTCATTTGCCAGTCAGAACATTGATTAGTTTAGCATCCTAAGAACACTACAGGCAAAGGAAATAAAACAGCCAGGTACTAAAGATCTTATGGGGAGCAGCCAATACAACCAGGAACTTCTAGTTTGTGTTGGGAGGGCACGTCTATGATGAAGGCATGTTTCAAAATTCTATTGTGTCTCATTGACCAAGTGACATTATACAGAAGGAACTGTGTTGTAATCTAAAGGACATTAAATTAAATGTATATGAACCCTAGAGCTTGGAAAAGTTGTGTGTGGGTTTTTTTTTTAACTACAACTGTCAGAAGTTATTCCCTGATCCATCAACTGGCCATGTTAGGTGGATATGTCTGGGAACTGAAATCCAAAAAAAGTGTCAGGCTTTGCTTATCCCCACTAGTCATACTTGATAAACTTTCAGCTCAAGAGCCAGACAAGTATCTTGAGGGGGCACCTCTCAGAGCAAGCAGGACACTCCCCTTCTGGCATGTGGCCCTCAATGTGATTGCTCAGTCATCATTCACTCACCCATAGTAATTACACACAGCCCTCCCCACAGCTTCAGTGAAACTGGCACCAACAGAGACCTCCAACACGTATGTGAGTAGTGGCGGAGGTTAGGTCTTCTCATCCCAGACATGCCCCCACATCTCCTTTCCCCTATTTTTCAAGTGGGGCTTGGCAGTGACAAGGTTTTACAAAGTCTCTTTGCTAAATGGGAAATAATTATGTGTTGTCCAGTTGATTCTGATTTATTATTCTATTCCCAAGAATTTCTGGGTGTGCAGTTCTCAGAAACAGTTTACCAGTCCTTTTTTCTGAAGGTGCTCTGGAACCAAATCACATCAGCCACACACCCTCCAGGTAATCTTGGCTGTGCCCTCTCCTGGGAGGTACAAGAGTGATTCCAACTCCCAGCCCCTGGCTCTGCAGTCAGAGGCTCAAATGCCCGGTGCTACAGAGGAAGAAGAACCTCTTAACTCTGGAGATCAGAGATAGCAGGGTTGGCCAGAGGTGATATCTGGCCCATGAGTCAGAAGTTCCCTTCCCTCAGTCTCCACCCTTCCATTTTTGCCTTGGTTGTGAGAAACCTGACTGCAGACCCATATTTCTTCTCACGGAACTATGCATCTATATCTTAATAAACCTGTTTTGCTAATACCTTCCTGGATGAAGCTAGATGCAGTAATTAAGTTCCAAGAGATGCCACACCTTCCTCTGTTTCCAGTCATCAGGTACTAGTACTGCCCAGTCTATAAAAGCATTCAGATTTACTTCTACTGATTAAATAGTCCGTTCAACCTTTTAAATAAAATACATGTGTGACAAATATACACTTGTATACATTCAGAGATAGATAGATTGGTAAGGTACTTTATAGCCCTTTTTGCAGTATAAAATGCCATTTCTTTTGAGATAGAAGATCTTTACTAAGATGTTTTTAAAGAGGCAAGAGAGAGAGAGAGAGCTTTTGCTGGATCTCCCAGCAAGTGGCAGTTCAGATTGGACTATAGCAGTAGAGACGAGGGTTTAATCCTTTTCTCCAGCACCATTGTCCTGATGCAAATGCCTTATTGCCACTGACCTCTTTCATGCTCACTCAAGCACCTACTCTTCCATGTCCACTGGAGCCCATCCACTAAGACTTGACATAGTGCATAAGTTCCATTAGATCTATATCTCTAACTATTACTTCACACACAGGATGTTTGCTTTTTAAGACTATTTTCACTAGCTTCGTATTTGGAATTGTCATTTTTTAACAACAACAACAAAAGACCTTTTTCTTAAAATAATAATCTGGTTGTGGTTGCTGAAGTGTACACAAGAGCTTCCTTGTATTGGTGTCACCACAAAGACTAAACTCAGTTGGGGGGGGGAGGAAATGGCTCTCCCATGCAGCACTTTAAAACAAAAGCTCAAAAAGTCATTTGTATGATATTATTATTGTAATTCCAAAGTTTCAGAGTGGTTGGTTAATGTCAATATGTTTGTGAAGTCAGTTACCTGTGCATACTATTTGATAAGACTCAGCATACACAAGATTTCTTTACATACCAGTATACATTGATATGACCCAGAGATGACAAAACTGAACATAGACTTTGAATCCGGAACAACTGCTACGCCCAGGGGGGAAACTACTTTTTCTTTCCCATTTACTTTTGAAATGCTTTTCTTAGAACTGCCTTAAAAGAACATAACTATAGCTCAGCAATGTGGCAGCTATGTTACATTCAGAAGGTCACCGTTTGATCTCCAGTATCACTAGTTTTTTAAAAGCAACCTTTTACTTTCCATTTTTCTCCAATACAACAAAACAGTTTCAGTGCTACAAATATTACAAAAGATCCCCCTCCTCTCACCCACTTTCTTATTGTCCCAGTGCTCATAACAAAGTCAGAGGCAGCTTCACCAATCACAGCATGGGACCCCACTTGCACCCTGTGATATGCCCCCTCCCCTCTTAGTCAAGTCATGTTTGTGTAACTGTAGATGGCTTGTGATATTAGAGTGAGGCCATAGCCCATACATTCAAAACATTAAAACAGAAAAAGGAGTGATGTTATCCTTTTTTTTTCGTAATATAATTACCAGGTATGTTATGATGACTTAGTTATTCGGA